GATCGTTGATGAGTTGAAAGTTGATGAAAGGGGTGCGTAGAATAGTTGTGTCGTTGATGAGATTTTTTCGGGGGCATATTGTGATTTGTTTGATGTTTTCTGAAAAACATTTTCGAGATGTTTTGCTAGCGGACCTATAATAAGACCACTAGATTTTGTTTACGAACAAATCACATTTTTTGACATAGTTGACTAGTGACTACTAGTTTTGCGATTCGGAGCAATTTTTCGTGTTATTATGTAATTACTTTTCCATAATTATTTTCACATTATTCGATGTATAAAAAAAACTAGTCATAGCATGGGTCTGAAAATTCCCAATTTGATTGAAATATCCATACTGAGTATATTGGTGGAAAAAAATCTTACATCGACGGTAATAATTTCGAATTAGAGGGTGATGAAAAAAATAGTGGTTTTTGAATATTTTTTCGTGGTTGTCAATTTTTTCAATCGATGAATCACTCTGTATATCATGGAACTCATTGGGATACATCCTTCAAAAATATTTTGAATGTCTGGAATCAACCCGATAATACGAGGTGGCCCAATGAACTTTAGGATAGACCAATTATGCAATCAACAGCATTAATGAAACACCATGTATAATTATTATATTTTACGAATTCAATTGATGTAAGAAGAGCATACTTGGCTATAAATCTCATTTTGTAATTGTTATCAATTTGTAGCATTGATATTCAGATATTCAAAAAAACACATTATTTGAAATGAGAATCACCCTGTAATAAAAATCAGTTTTGGTCGAATACCTATATAGTTCTTGCGCCTAAGGGCATAACTATTACGTGCTCCCGAAAAATTGGAATTCATTTGTCCTATCTTAGAGATATAGGCCGAGAAAAATTAGGTATTCTTCAACTTCAACACCCTGTATCTCGTAAACTAGTCATAGGATTGAGTTGGGACTTGGCATATTCAATCAGTATGTCGAGTACTATCATTTACCAAAAATTGGGGAAATTCGACGGAACGCCATTTTTATATAGAAAAAGTGCGGGGTCCTTTGAATATCCAGAATAAAAGACGTTATCGCTACTCCCTCCAGAGACTTGATTCTTCCCAGATGACTATCTGAACCAATCAGAATTGATGACTAAAATGACGTCGCACCTTTCTTCACGATTACTCGGCTTGTTGATTCGACGATGATGATCTAAGGACATATCAATCCGAATCGGCGTTTGGCGCATGACAAGTTTGACACTGTTGACATGGTGTCATGACCGACAGCTAATTGACGTAAAGCGAAATAACAGATCAACAAGATCAAAACATCAACCTGAATTTATCAAATGCATCAATCAAGAAAATAATGCCAAACGAAATTAATTGATTCACCATGGTCGAGTCCTAGTGAAACCATACGCCTCAGCATTCCTGGAAAATCCAATACCTATCGTCCTACTGTGATGAAGTTTCAAGTGGAAATAGCATTGTGAAAAGTGAGTATGAGAATGTCTCTGAAATGGTATTTCATATTACTTTATATTATTTATCGCTTTCAGATAAGTTTCTGTAAAAACCATCCGAATCATCCTTTTACTTGGATCACAACAAAGCAGATATAGCAAGAGATATCAGTGTATTTATAGAAATTGTATTTTTATTTTATGTACAGTGTGAAATCTCAGGTGTGTATCCACATATCAGGTTTGAGAATAATTAAATAATATGAAGCAGATTGAGTTCAATTTATGTTATTGAAAAATGTTAACCATGTTATTGTGACAAAATATCCTGTCAGATGTGCTCAGCAGTACAAAATATTATAGAATCAAACAAAATATACAGTAATGAAAATTTACATGCTACAGTTTGAATCACCCTGTACATACCTTCTTGATCAACTCCAATATCTCATGAAAGTAATTCAGAATGTATTTCTTGTTCTTGTAAGCGAAGAGAGTACTTCGCGTTCTCTACATAGTACACAGAATATGATATTCCTAAGCTACGACAATAGCTTGGTTATTCAGTGTCAGATTATGGTCAGATCATATTTTCGACCTGTCGAAATTTTTAGCATACTGTCAAGAATGGATCGAAACTAATAATTTCATTGGGAATATTTGAAGATCAGTACAATAACCTAGTCTAGATCATATTCTTAGAATTATTAAGCTTACAGGATATCAGTAGAGAATTACGATATTCGAAGATAATTTTAGTTCGGATTTCAATCCTATTATTATTCAAGTAAAGTCGCTGACGGGCAGAAACTGCTGGTTTTGGATTTTTCTTAATCGAGGTGAATACACTAGTTTTTATGCTGAATCAATTACCACTACCAAATCCGACATGAAAAAGTATTAGAGAAAAAACCGGCAGTTGTGGTTCGGACAATGGACCGTAAAGTATAGTTTTTTCAAATTAGCTAACAAAAAGGTAAATCTTGAACATTTTTGCATCATATCTATACTTCGTGAGTGGCAGTTCCAATCCTCCAACGAAAAGCGAGCCTTTCTGTGAGTACGTTTCTTAATATTACTAGTATTAGTTTTCTGGTTTTATTTTTATTTGAGTTGGATGTATCTTGCTGGAAAATTGGTCAATTCATCTCATGCCCGAATTGGTTTTTAATAAAGATGAATAAATTTGTAAAGTGGAGTTGAATTCTTTGATTATAATTTTCATTATCTCTTGCAAGCGAGTAAGTTCGAGTTACGATTGTGGGGGTTAGAACCCGCTCGTGACAATACATTCAAACATGTCATTTCCGTACCAATGCTGTGACTTTGTTGAATAAATTGAACTACTGTCGATTTTAAAGCAATAATATATTCATGTGTACTTATCCAGTTCAGTCATTTTTGACGATTGCACGAAAAATAATTTGTATATTTGGCGACCTCAAGATTATCTTGTTTCGACCAGAAACGGCCTCGGCTACTTGTCTTTCAGCACGTGAAGAAGGTATTTTGGTGAAATAGGTATAAACCATTAGATTCAATCCCTAGTAACATTCTCTGATGAAAACGTGAGCAATCAGCGTCGAATTGTTCAAAAACATTGACGCTCTCATTTCTCACACTCCTAAAATATATTCCACGTAAAATGAAAATATACTGTTCACATAAGATGAAAAAAAAAAGTTTATCCGAGAGTATATATTATTATCATTATTCCTTTACATCCATCTGAAAAAAACTGAATGACTCCAGAAGTTTGGAAGATCTTTCAATAAAACACTTCCAGAGAAACCAAGATATTTTAATTTTCAATTTCACTATATTTTTTGTTAAAATTAATTACCATGTATCTATTCTTGAAAATGCTCAATCGTTTTCTCCAACAGTAATCCTGTATGAAAACTTTCACAACTCTTCGTATCACAAGAACTAGGGCAGTAATGTGAAAACCTCACCCCACTCTCCCCAAAGACAACTGATGTGTCTTGCAATATAAATATCGAAAATTATACACATTGTTCCATTTTCGATGTCCTAACGAGAAATCTCACTCATTTTTAAAGATACAGATTAGCGGTTTTCGCGAACCTTAGCTACTTTTCTGTGAAACACGATACCGCAAACAAATTTCTCATAGCCAGTTTCGTTTTTGTTCCCTCTATATCTACAGCCATCTTTCAATTCATGGGGAATGTAAAAACTGTCTCGCAAACATTTTTCACGTATTATCCAGTGGCGTAGTCAGATTTCCAAATCAAGCTGTCTTTATAGCCAAAAGGTATGGTTTTCAAATAGAACACCCTGTATATTTTGTATTTTCAAAACATTGATATTTCGCGCTTTCCAAAGATATATACCACGTATACGATATTTCGAGTATAAGCCACGAATTCAGATAATTTACCATTTTATTTTTCTTATTGATACGCCTTTTGAATATGTGCTAATATTTTCCGTATCACAAATCCTCATATATTATTCCTTGTTGCTGACAGTGTTTTGTCTCACTCTTGTTTCATCCACCAACATTCAACATTTATCAATATTCAGCACTATTTATTGACTATAAAAGCTGTGGACCTATTTAGCAGGTAACTAGCGCGAGTGCAGAATGTATTATAATTCTTGTCACCTGAATGCCTGTCCAAGTTGAACATTTTTCAATCAATATGGCGAATAATAATCCAGGTTATCAAAATTACGAAAAACTCGATATGGTTGAGAAATAAGTTGGTTAGGGAGAATATTATGACGTTTTCTAGTGAAAAAAAAATCTAATATAATTTCATAAAAAAATCATTCCTTTTTTATCTCAATAAAACCTCCTGGCCCTATCCAAAATGATGTTTGTCTCTGAAAAACTGATATATTTTCATACCAATCCAAATCTAATATGAATGTAACTAATAATAGCTGATATATAGAGAGGGGGCCGTTTGAAGTGAAACACGCTTTTCGAAGAGTGCAAAGCATCAATTTATTTAAAATATGAAAAAATATACAAGGCTCCGTATTCAAAACCTTGGATAATGTCTAAATAATAACTACTTATTTTGAAAATCTGACTACGCCACTGGATTCTACGTGAAAACATGTTTGAGTGACAGTTTTTTCTTTTCCTTCAAGTTGAAAGATAGCGAAGATACCCCACAGTGGGGTTCTGAAATGCACCTATTCAAAATTCGTCCTGTTTCCCAAATACGAAGTGGGCTATAAAAATAAGTGATCGCGTGAGGACATTGAAAATGGGACGCCTGTACAATGTAGTAGTGTGATTGGATGAAGTCGACTGTCTGCTCAATCCTGAAATGCTTTGTCATGACGACTTCAGATGAAATAATTTCCAAAGTTATATTTTTGCAAGGGTAAACAAAACATTTTGTTTCAAAATATTATTCATTATGACTATGTACTGCAATTGACACTCAGCGAACTGTTTGTATCCACTTTGCCCTACCTTTCACTATATTCATTATATTGCTCGCAATTCCTGACTTACCAATAATATAACTGATATGTTGTTAATCATTTTGTTTCAATTCAATCTGGATTCTCAATTTTTCACAGGTGCGTATTCTGAATGGCTCATGGACCATCCTTATTTATTGGAAAATGTGTTTCCCTTGATACTATCTGGTTTAGCCAATCCCGAGGTGTCGACCAGTGCAACAATGGCATTAAAAGATATAACCCACAATTGTCAGAAGTATTTGACACCGTTTGCCGATCATATTTTAATAACATCTCAGGTTAGTGCTCCTCCAAATGAATTCGTTTAATTTCGTTACGAGAATGTCATTCTGAAATCAACAATATTTGCAAGACATTAATCTGGATTTGTGACTAGAAATAATTTTCAGAACTCTCACGACAGATTTGGTTGTCTAAAAACTGAAGAAGAACAAAGTTGTTCAATTTGCCATAGTTATTACATTCGAATGATATTTTTTTCACTATTTTGAAATCAAATACATACCGAGTGACCCAGATTTGATCTAACACCGGTATCTTTCGTGTTACTTATTTTGATTTTTGATTGTTACTTTGATAAACTGATTCGAAAAAATTTGAATCAAATCTTTTGAAAGCATTTCTGTAGATATGTTTGAGATTATCTCCTTCTGTAAATAAAAAAATAGTGTTTTTGAAGTATATGTGTAATCAGAACAGATTATATGATCTACCTCAAAATGTTACTGCATTCAGTAACTTTATTATTGAAGAACCTGAGAGAAAAAATTCAATCAGTAATCAGTGACACCCTGTTTTGAAGAATATGATGATAGTTATATTGAAAAAATGTCGCACACTTTTAGTAACTGTGCTATACAAATAGTTCAATCAATGAACGCCAAAGAAGGTCAAATAGGAGAAGAACATCTTGTAGACGCAAATTTTCGTACAGTGGTAGAGGAAAGTGCCATGGACAACATGAAAATCTTTATCCATAGGATATGAGTGGGGCGGTAGGCGAGCGTTTGAAGGTCATTTTTCCGCGTTTCTTCAATAATTGCAAAATCGTGATCTCTAGCGTCCTATAAAAATGTTTCTATCCATTTTTCGTCCACAATGAATAGTTTCTGAGATACAGAGGAAGAAAAAAAATAGAGTTTAATGGTGTGAAGTTCATGTTCATTGTCTCACTATCTTCCGGCTTCTTATTGAATGCGTACCTATAGGGTTTTCATCTAATGATGGCAGAAGTCATCTATCAACAATGGAACAATGACTGACAAGTTTGGTGACGTTTTTAAAAAAGGGATACATGGATTGGCGAATGCAAGTGATTCTAGGATAGATGAGAAAGCTGAAGGACTCAAGTATCAAAAACACGTTGTTCTTTATTCATTTTGCAGAAAAGAGTATACCAGTGTTCAGTCAATCAAAAAAAATCTGAAAGAAGCCTTCAACGTCACATGATTCGCGACGTTTAGGGTGGATTAAATAATCTAGGCGAGCATCATCCCAATGACAACCAGTACCTAGCACTTGAAGCGATACTAAAAAGCATATTCTGCCGATGATCTACTGGATGTGGGGGACGATGTGGATGCTGAAAAGCTGAAATTTCATGCTTCATGGTCTACGGCATGTGCCGTGGTACGTGTACGAATGGTGCACCGTTTTTTCATCCCCTTCATCTCAGAAACTAATGATTGTAGACAAAAAATTGATAGAAACTTTTTCATAGAAAATTTCATGTTGTTTAATTCTGTATACCTAAATTATATTAGCTAGACACCGCGACATTCGAATTATTCAAGAACCATAAAAAATGACCTCCAAACGGTCTCTCACTATGGGTCTGGACTTTTAGATTGTTATCTATTGAACTTCCCGTTGACATACTACAAAAATTTGCGACCACGATCTTTTTTCCGATTTTTGTTCGTTTGTTGAATTACAATACGGAAATCTCCATAAGAAAATCTAAGGTTCATGCTGCAGATTTTTGTCCACTTCAAGTTCATCCGTCTCCGACGAACGGGCTGACGGCAAGCCAATGATAAGAACGGTGATAACAATTAATCTACAATAAGATGGAGAAACATATTATATTGAGTGTTTGAGAAAACCCAAGTCGTATAAAAAATGAAAAACATACTGGGCGACTAGCGGGTAGACCACTTCACTTCTTGTCTAGCTCAGCGGACCAGACGACATGACATATGCTGTTGATGATACTTCCGGTGCTTCATACCTCGCTGAAACCAAACGCTCTCTGTTATAGGAATTGAAAAATCTTTTACAGGGCATATCGCGGATGCCACCTCACCACAGATATTTAATGTAGTTACAGTCTTTAAGAACATTATACAGGGATTATCAATATTTGAACTACCCTGAATGAAAACGTCACGAAAACGTCACACTTGTTTCTAAACATCGTATCTAAGTTTTCGCTTGTAATAACTCGAACCATGATTTATTCTTCATTTTTGACTCACCCTGTGTGTTAATTGAGTAATGGCATAAAAAGTGCATACACCCTATACGAAAGAGGCTTCTTTTGCGAGCATTTTGTTTCTTTATTCATTGATTTATCTCCATTTATTTTCCCAATTACATCTTTTTTTGCTGAATTCTTGCAGATTACCAACTTTCTAAATTTATCGAGAAACAGTTTTCTAATGAACTGATACCAATAAATTTGAGAAACATTTTCATTAAACACAAAATTATAAATTGGGATGACTGCTTAATACCGTGTATTGCCTCCTCTAGCAACTCTAAGAACTTCTAGTCTACGAGGCATACTGGAAATTAAGTTGCTTATCGTTTCCATTGGTATACGATCCCATTTTTTCACCAATGCATCTGCCATTTCTGCGAGACTTTCCGGAAACCTCTCGCGAGAACGTACTCTTCTCCCTAATTCATCCCACAAATGTTCTATAGGATTCATATCGGGGCTTCTCGCAGGCCATTGTAATGTGGTAATACCAGTAGCTCCTAAGAAGTTCCGCACTATTGCTGCGGTGTGTGATCGGGCATTGGTCTGCATCAATATAAAATTATTGCCCACTAACTCTCCATAAGGTAAGACATACTGCTCTAAAATGTCAATGTAAATTTGGGCATTCATCGACTGCCTCATTGGAAAAACATGAAGGGGTGTCTTTCCATTCATTGAAATCCCTACCCACACCATAACGGACCAACTATTAAAACTTTCGCATTCTGTTATTGAATTTTGATTAAACCGTTCACCAGTTCTTCTCCACACTCTTTTTCTACCATCCACCATGTTAAGGCAAAACCTTGACTCATCCGTAAACAAGACGTTCGACCATTCAGGAATATTCCACTGTCCATAATTTTCAACAAAATTTCTTCTAGCAGCACGATGTTCGGGCAATAATTTGGGACGTTTTGCAGGTCTCCTAGCTTTCAAATAACTTCTTTTAGACGTCTACATACCGTCTGCTTACTTACTGCAACATCACGAATTTGGCGAAGATCTTGCTGAACATTTACCGCAGTATTTGATCGATTCCGTGAATTCCGCAATCTCAAGAAGCGATCATCTCTTGGAGAAGTTTTTCGGGTGCGACCAGAACCGACCCTCCGAGCGGTGCTTCCTGTTTGTTCGTTCTTGCGGATTGCTCTACGAGCAGTTGCTTCATGAACTCCCACTGCACGAGCGGCGTAACGTTTACTACGCCCATCGTTCACTAACGCAACTAATCTTGCTACTTGTTCAGGATTTATTTGAGGCATTTTTTGCAATTTTAGTCAATAAAACAAGACACTTAATTAATGACACAACGATTCAACCAACATTGTTTTTTCTTTTAAACCACGATTCTCTACCTATCGGAGCTATTGATCGTTCCAAAATTGCATTCAATTTGAATTATTCATTTTTCCGAGGCTGAATTAATTAATTATTTAAAAAATAAGCCAATCCTGTTAGTCTGCAATGAAGTTATTTTTCGCATATGGAGGTTCGAAAGCATGAGTAACAATAATATGAAGTTTCAATGCAAAAAATTCCTCATATGATTTCATAGAAATCGAACCCATATTATTTCAACAAAAAATTCCGTCACTGTCCTACAGGATCTTCGTCTCTGTATATATAAATATATATAGTGTGATTCAGAAAGAGGATTTGAGTATAGGCGATTAACATTCTGCTACCTCGAGCCCGAATATACCGACTCATCATCTAGAATGAAAATAACCGTAATTTCATGGATTACACGTGTCAATATATCAGACATATAGCTTCCGAACTGTTCACTTATCCGAACAATTTGATGTGACTCATTCTCATTATTTTAGATTATTCTACTCATTTGATTACTTCTTGCTCAGGATGACTTTCAAATTATATCCGAATGTACGTTATTGAGTCGCACACTTACTCAATATAAAGTGATTTTGATATATGTAGGGAAAGTTCAGTGTTTCACCTACTCATGATAGTTCTAGAGCAAAACCGGCATTTTTGTAAAACGCTTGATTTTCACGTAGACTGCTTTGAAAAACATCATATTCATAGAAGCACAATCATTTATAACTGCACTCAAGAGACACCTAACACTGTTGTCCTCGAGATTTCTTACGAAATGAAATTCAAATACGCCATCGAGTACTTCTCCATTTTGAATATATTTCATATTCACATTATGCGTCCATTCCTCAATAATCAATCATGAAGTCTTGCGTCTACGTAAACCACAATATTTTATTTCAGATTTTCTCGTCCTCCATCAACCAACAACAAAGCGGTTTCTAAGGCAACGTATGGAATTAGTAAGAAGGTGTACACATAAACATATCATTTTTATGAGCTGAGTGATTCTGATGAGTTGAGGTGCATAAAAAATCATCAAAATCCATATACAAATACATTCACTCAATAGATAATTATAACATCTAGATGTTTCTTCTAAAAATTCCATGCTCCATCTCGTGAGATTCATAAGCAATACTTGATGTCTTGTCACTAACGTGTTTAAGAATCGAACTCTCCATAACATATATCAGTCTAATACTATTCAATTCTTTATCAATTTGAATAATAATAATAATGTATTTATTCCTTGAATTGATCATACAAAAAATGATATAGGAATCGTCAAAAAAAAAAGTTGTATAAAATTATTATAAAGAGAATATACAAACACATAAAAGTTAAAATATTGACATAAAGATAAAATGGGTCTAACATTCAAAACATCCAAAAACTATGATTAGAGGTAAACATTTGAAATACAATCACATTAAAAATAAAAATACA